GATCCATAAGTTTGTTTATTTATCCATCTGTCCATTTATCTTCCATTCCAGGCTGTGCCATGTGCAGGGGATGTGGCTGAGAACAAAATGGGTGACCTCATGGCCTTTACACTCTGTTATCTGTAGCCGGGCACTTAAATTTCCTGAGCTTTCTTGTCGGGTTCTGATGCGCTCGGATAGCCTGCTTTCCAGGAACAATTCCATAGATTTCTGGCTTGGGTCCCGTCCTCTGGTTAATGAACTTGGGGCTCTCAGGCTGTCCTTGGAGAGAACTCAGGGCTTAGGCATGGTGGTCTTCCTTTTCCCTCTACGCACCCACACATTCTGAGTCCCTACCCTGTGGTGGTCCCTGTGACAGGCACAGGGTGTGTGCGTGTGATGAAATGATTAAGACACAGCCCTGCCTCCTTTGAGAAGCCCAGGGGCCAGAGCAGAGGCAAGTGGGTGAATTGTCCACTCTGAACGAAGCTGGGGGGCCTGAGGAGGGAGGAGCAAGCCTGTCCACAGAGAAGGCGATACCTGGCCACCCCTGGTAGACGGTCGTGAGCAATTCATCTCTCTGTCTGTGGCCCCTCCCACAGCAGCCAAACTCTACTTGTTTGTTTTCCTTATTGCCCCCAGAAGCTAAATAAATAAAAAACAAACAAAGCTACCCATAGTACTTCTTTTCTACCCTGACCCCGTCACCATCATTGTTAGGTCCTTCTGGAATCCTGGACAAGTGTGGTGCCACATGCTGCTCTGGCTGTTTAATTTCCATAGCAAAGAGGAGACTCCCCTGCCTCTGGGCCCTCACCATCCCCTGCCGAGTGAATCTTCATGCAAATATCTCAGGAAGTGGGCCCCCTGCTAGGGACCTCTCCAGCCTGCTTAGCCATTGAAGCATTTTCTGAATTGCCAAAGAAGATCCCAATTTTAGAAGTTAAACTTGGGGTGAGTCTCCCTTCTCCTCCCATGGCGGCCATCTCACATGTTCTTTGGGTAGCATGTGCCATTGAGTGTCTAACCTAAATTCTGGGTGAGGCTCCAGGTGCAGGATACCTCACGAGCTACACACACTGTCAAATACAGAACTATTCAGCGCAGGTCAGAAAGGGTGACCAGTGTTGGCCCATCGCTCCGATGGCTGTGGGTGAGTGAGCTCTGTCGCACACCGCAGGCCTGAGAGATTCCGGGAGAGGCAGAGCGAGCCTGGCATTTACTCTGAGGCCTGCACCTCCCCAGCGCCATTCAGCAGAGATGGTGCATGTTGATTTCACGTATTCACTTCTCTTCCTCCCCTCTGGGAATTCTGTACTTGCTTCACTTTTTTTGTTGTTAAAAAAAAAAGGAAAGAAAAGGCAGCTCCTCCTTGTTCCATGCTCAGAGATCCTCAAGGGCAGTCTGTACCTTCTGGCTCCCCTGAGCGTGGCGAGTGGCTGAGGGTCAGGAGAGGGCAGGAGGGATGGCGTCTCTCACCTTTCCTCTCCGGTGCTTCTCTCTGCATCCCAAATCTAAGAAGTTGAGGCAGCCACAGCAGCAGGTCTTCCTCTTTTCCTCTGCCCTGCTGCCAGGCCCGGCTTCCTAGGACCCCGGCTTTATTATGTGCCTCCACTCCTCAGGAAGCTCACACTTTCCATGTGTCACGCAAGGCCTCGCACAGGAGCTCACTTTGACTCACAGGCACATTCTCTTGCTTCACTCAGGCTCTCCTCACTGCCCCCTGAATAGACCATCCTCATGCCTTTCTAGAATGCCCTCCCTCCTCTCTCCCTCTCTCTACCCACTCCAGAGAGCCTTTCTCCAGGGGACAGCTCTTTGCTGGTCCTGTTATCTTATGTGCTGTCTGTCTCTCTGCTTTGGGCTTCTCTAGGTACAGACTGGAATGGAGGTAGAAAGCTGGTCTTTTCAGCTAAATTGTGAGCTCCTTGAGGCCTGTAGCCATGTCTTCCTCATCTTTGTATCTTCCAGGATGCTTGCTCAGTCTCCTGCCTGTGATGAACGCTCTATTACAAATGCATGGTTTGTCCACTGGGAGCGGGAGGAGGACGGCTGCTGTCCGGCTAAACCTGTATCCTATAGCTCCTCTCCCAGCTCTGTCCAGGCGGCCTCCTTTCATGGGCTGGCCTCCTGTCTTGCACACTTCGTTCTCCCTGCACCCGCTCCCTTTGTACAGTCCTGTAAGGTGACTCAGGGCCAGCTCCTTGGGGACTCATTGCCAGTCATCGGTCCAGTGGCACCGCCCTGAGCACACCTCTCCCTTTTTCCCCCTTACTCAGGGTCCTTTCTCTAATGACTTCTCATCAGGATGTGCAATTTCAGGTTCCCTGTTACGCTTTTAGATTCTGTCTGTTAGACTGGAAGACTCCCAAGGGCTGGAACTAGATTTAGAGCCCCAGAGAGTAAAGAACACCGGCTTGGAAAGCACAGTTTGCTTATCTGTACAATGGGGGAGATAACCACACCTTATCTTGTAGGGTTGTCATTGAAGATTCTGTGAGTTACTGCCAGTGAAGCTCGGTGCCCGGGATATAATGCGGACTTAGAAATCTGAGTTGCTCTTATTATTTTGATATTGACAAAACTGGATGTGCTGATGGGACCTCACTGAAGCTTGTTAATGGATTAAAGAGTGGGACTTCAGCCCCCATGGGACAAGTGTGCCCAGGAGGGAGCAGAACTGTTAGAGTGGACAGCCTCCTCTTCTTCTCTACCTGCCTGTTGTCCTCCACCCCTGGCCCCCAAGCTCTTGCCTGCTGAGGAAGTCGTCACTGGCACAAATCCATTCATGGTCGGGAATGAAGGTGGAATGATCCAGGGACAACGGCGAGGCTATTCTCACTGAAAAAGGCGTGAGTTAGGGAGAAGAGAAATGAAAAAATTAGAGGGGGCCAGCCTGGGAGGGCCCTTGCTGACACCACGTGCCCATCTGAGACTAGTAACCACAGCCCCTTACATTTGCTCCCCGCTCACAGTCCTGGGACTGTTGTCACATGTGCCAGCTCGCTCTACTCTCACAACACCTCTAGGGGGAGGCTCTATTTTTTTTTTTATTGAGTTATTGATAGGTAACAATCTTGTGAAATTTCAATTGTACATTAATGTTTGTCAGTCATGTTGTAGGTGCACCACTTCACCCTTTGTGCCCACCCCCCACCCCACCTTTCTAGGAGGAGGCTCTATTAATCCCCATTTTTAAGAGGAGGAAATGGGAGCTCAGAAAGGCAAACGACCTTACCCTGGATCCACAGCTCAACACTGAGCTAAGAGTGGAAAACGGTCTCCTGACTCCCGTCCAGCTGGTAAACGCTGCTCCCTCCTGAATCAAAGAAGTAATGTGCGAATGAAGTGGCAGCCGGGAGCCCTAGGAGCCGCGGAGACTGAAGAGGATAAAAGGGGTGGGGCTCTGTCAGCTCCTCACCTGTAGACAGCACCCCGGGACTGCTGTGCCCAACCAGGAGAGAGTAGGCTGCTGTGGCTGTGACACACACTAGGTTTCAATTCTGGGCTGCCCAACTGTCTGGCGAAGGGGCTCGGGACAGTAACACCTCGGCAGGTCCCTTTGAGGAAGCTGAGCCGCCCCCAGAATCCCAGCGCTTGCAGCCTCGGATGCAGGCCTGGCTCCGAGCCAGTGACAGCAGCGCGGGGCCGCCGCAGCAGACTTGTGAGTCTTGAAGTCTCTCTGGTGGAATAAATGTCCCCTTCCCCCATGGCTATAGCCAGTTGTGGTAGCTCTGTTCCCACCCGTCGCCTTGGTGATCATGGTCCTTCTGTCTTCCTGACTAGACTGTGTGTGTCTGCAGGGCAGGGAGCAGCACACCTCCTGTTTCCTCAAGGCCTGGCCCCCGCTCAGCACACAGCAGGTGTGGAAGAAGTGTCTGATGGGATCCAAGGAGGACATTTCACACTCACCCCAGGGGGGGCATGAACACTTCTATCCAGCCACCCTTGTCGAGCGCCTCCCAGAGGCCAAGCCCGGCGTTAGGTGCTGGGGATATATAGCCTAGGCCCCGCTCTCGGGTGCTCTCAGCAGTCTCTTGCTGGTGGCGGAAAAGAGAGGTGGGCTCTTCGCCCCTAAGTCTTCTGGTCTTTGTTTGCCAGCTGTGGTCGCCCCAGGTCGGCGGTGCAGACTTCTGCACAAGCCCAGGTGACGCGGCCCCAGGTGCAGTGTTTCACGGTAGAATGAAGGGCTCCTCCTGGATGTTCCCAAGCCCCTAGCAAGAGCCTTCTTCATGCGGTTTCCCTGACCAGCCCCTTCCGCCCAGTCCTCAAGGGAGGGGACCCGAGGCTGTGTCCAGGAGCACTCCTACATCACCCTTGGCATGGGCAGGATGTGGAGGGGCAAGGCAGGACCCCGCTTCGGCCACCTACTCTTCTCAGCCCCGCAGCGTCCTACCCGGGAACGCGGGGGCGGGGGGCTCGCGCAGCTGCAGGAGCCTCGCGGAGCGGCGCGTGCGTGCGCGCGGAGGGGGCGGGGAGGGCGGCGCGCGCACCACCGAGGCCCTAACCGCCTTTCCCACACCTCGCGCCTCCCCTGCGGTTCCTTCTCCCTGCGCACCGTAGCCAGACCCACGTGTGCAAAAGCGTGGTGTGCGTGTGTGGGTGTGTAGCCGGGAGACCGTATGCCTCGGGTCGGACAGGCCGCCGGGTGCACAGGGGGCGGCGGCCAGCTCGACAGTGGCCGCGCTTCTTTCACTCTCCAGTCCTCCCCAGACCTTTCCTCTGGCTTCTTTCGGTCTCTGGTACTTCCAGCCGTTCCCCTTCTCTCACTGCCTCCTTTTCTCCGATAGAAGAGACCAGCGCCTTCCGATGAAGGTTCTGGTTCACCCCCAGCTCCAGAGCCCTTGACATTTAGCGAGGGTTCGCAGTGCACTTGTATAGGCACACAGCAGAACGCTAATCCTATTAAAGATATTGTGTCATTGGGGAGGGGGGAGGCTGCCTCCCCCTGGGCAGGCCTGGCGCTCATTGGTCGAATGCAAAGCAGGGGGCGGGGCCGAGGGCCCGGGGAGGGGGCTCCGGGCGATTTCGGAGTCGGGAGTCTGGGCTGGGATTTCGTAGGGAAAGCCCAGCGGTTGCAGCTGCGGCGGATCCCTCGGCTCTGCCTGCTGCGCGCCCGGGCCGCCCAGGGCCGGCGAGCAGCTCCGCCAAGTCGTGGGGCGAGGGGGCGCGGAGCGCCCGCAGAGTGGTCGGGCTCAGCGCTGGGGCTGGGCTGGGAGAGGTGTGCCCGGGGAGCCTGGATCCCGGCGCCCTTGCCCCTCGCGTGGAGCGGCCGGTGCACCCGGGAGTCAAGCTGACGCTCTGGAAAGAGAAAGCCAATTGCAGCCTCCCCAAAGACGCTAAGTTACGCAGGCGAGCCGGTTCCCAGAGAGCGTTCTCGAGCGCGCGTAGAGCCGAGCCGCACCGCAGAGCCCTCCCGAGCCAGCCGGCTTCGAGCGGGGCGCCGTCCGAGAGGTAGCGGCCCCTGAGCTCGGGGTCTGGTCCGGAGTGCGCCCCGATACAGAGAGGGGGCGTGCAAGGCTCCGCCGGCCCGCCTGCAGCCCGCGTCCGACTTAGGCGCCCCCTCCGTCCCACTCCGGGAGCGATGCCCCCCGCCCCTCGCGCCCCCCGGGAACGACGCGAGCATGGAGAAGTCGAGTAGCGAGGATTCTTCGATCCACCGGAGTCCATCTTTGGATAGCAAGGACTCGGACTTTGCCAAGCCGTCCACCTCGGGCCGCCCGTTCGGCCGCGGCTTCACGGCCGGCGCTTTCTACGGCACCGCGGGCTCCCGGGGCCAGAGCCGCGCCGAGGCCGGCGTTAAGACTGACAAGTACAATGCACCCAAGGGCAGCAAGTACGTGGTGTTTTACCTGGACCTGTCCTTTGTTTTCCTCCTAGAATTTAAGAAGTGCAACATGGCCAGGGGCTGCCTCTGCTGCTTGAAGTACATGATGTTCCTCTTCAATTTGATATTCTGGGTAAGTCCTTCCGTTTCTCTCTCCCTTGGCCTCCTCTTCTCTTCTCTGCTGTGCTAATAGCGCGATACCCTCTTCCTCTTCCGTGCTGCATTGCTCCTCTCTCTGCACAACGGTAAGTGGGTTTTTAAAAAATCGTGTTCTCCCCTCGCTCATGCATCTTTCTCTTTCTTTCTCTCTTCCGTGGCTGAATGGAGGCTCCAACTTGCGTGTCTTCCAGGAGAGACTTCCTCTACTCCTAGGAGCTCTGGCAAAGTTTGCTGCCGGCTCCTTCCCCCTAAGAAACCCATGCTGGAAGTGCCTCCAGCAGGGTCCTCTGCAGAAATAGGTGTGGGCAGAATTTTTAACAGCTGTGCCCGAGTTGAAGACAGGCGCAAATGTGGATGGTTTTCTGAGTTTCTTGTGCTCCCCCTGGATACACAAGAATACAATCTGCAGCATTTTATGGGCGTGAGATGGGGGAGCGGTAGAGGTCACCGCCTCCCGCTCCTTTCAGTGGATCCCACGAAGAGGAGCAGGAGCCCCTGTCCCGAGCAGAGGGACTCGCTGGCTGGCCTGCAGCTCTGCCCCTGGTTAGGGCTTGCGTGGAGGAGGGTGTGGGAGGGATGCTGCCATCCCGTGGTAGGCAGCTGCTTTTGAGGGATTGCAGTGGACTGGGCAGGGAGCAGGCTGGCCATGTGTTCCCGCAGGGACGCCAGCTCTCCAGTCTGGGGCCCCAGAGACTGGAAGGGACGAAGGGAGACAGTCAGGAGTGCCCCCATCCTTGGTAAGAGGTTCTTTTCTAGGGAGGGTGTCGGTGGGTGGGGCAGCATGGATTTGTTCTCAGTGCTCTGTGATGCTGGAGGCCATGGGTGTGCGCCCGCACATGCACGAGAAATGCTAGTTAGGCACTTTGAAAACTTCTTCAATTCGTGTCTAATTGTTCCTTCGCTCCAACTGCTTTCTCTGCCTTTGTTCACCAGAGCCCAGATGTAGTCCTCACAGATGTTTGGCTCTGCCCCAGGGCCTGGCCTCCAGCCTGCTGGAGGCTGTCAGCGGCCTTGGTCCAGGAGGTGCACTGAGGTGGGAGGGCCACTCACAGCGCGGTTGGTGGAAGCTGTTATGCTTGGGTGTTCAACACTTGTGTGAAGTGACCCGCTTTAACTGGAAAACTTTTTTGGGTGGGTGTGTGGGAGGGGACGGCTTTTCCCACAGAGGGGAGAGCTCAGGGGCAGGTGGGAAGAGGGGTGGGTGTTCGTCTGCATTAGCTTTGTGTGTGACCTTGGCCAGGCGGCTTTACCCCGTCAGTCCTGGATCTCCTTTCTAGTCCAGTGGGGTCAGCCTCGTGTCCTCACCTCGTTAGTTATGGGACCTCCTGCATCCTTGCCCTCTCTCTGGGGAGGGAGTCCCTTCCCCAGGGGGGCACGGGCTGTAGCCTCTCTGCTGAGGAGCCTGGTCTGAGACCTTTTGAGTTGGATTTCCCTAGATGTCTCCATGGTCTGGGGCCCTCCAGCCAATGCTGTCAGGACATTACCTGTCCTGTGGTGAGGGTTTTGTGGAACCTGGGGCAGAGCCATTGGAATATCAAGAATGACTTTGTGGCCGCCTTTGGGCAAGTGCTCCTGGTCTCTGACTCATTGACCAGCATGACTCCGCATCAGCCAAGTGCTGGTGTGTATTTCCCTGGTGCCTGTTGGTTTACACTAGTGCTGCCCTTTCATTGTGTACAGCTTCCCTCTCTGCCCTTGTTCGTAGTCTCAGCCTACTTTCTGCCTTGCCCCACTCTGCGCATCTGAACACTTACTAGAAAGACCCTCCTGGGGATGCCCAGTGTCTTGGCCAGTACCTCCCATTCAGCAGTGCTCCTCCCCACCCCCACCTCGCCACCTGCTGGCCGGAGTAGGTATAACTGCTTGTGGCTCCTTTCTTCTCCAGGATCTTCCCAACTTGGTTTGGGGACCTCCTCACAGGCTAGAACAGTGGTCTGCGCCCTGCACATAATAGGCACTCGTTAAATGTTTGTGAGTGAATGATGGAGAGTGAGAGCAGTAATCCATCTGTTAGTATGTGGTAGGGATTCCCAAGTCCCACTCGATCGAGAAAAGAAGTTAGTTCTCAAACTTGCCTGCGGTGAAGGCTCTCCTGGCACCTTGCTGTGGGGGGGCAAGCAGCTCCTCCCACCTTCCCTTCCAAGCCTGGCAGAGGTAACGCGCTGATCAGGGAAATGGCCTTCCTTTATGGTCTGTAGTGAGAGAACTCGCTGTCTCTTCCTAATTAGAAGGCACCTACCATCACTCTCTTACCAGGCGAGGAGCTGCTCTCTCCTAGTCTCTGACTTTTCTGATTACTTAATATTTTCAGAATTCTCATGCTACGAGCTGAGAAAAATTGAGTTCTTTTATGCTGGTAGCGTATGAGATGATGAAATAAGACCTTGGGAAAGATGGAACAGATGCTTGTGTGTGTCTGAGCATTTGCCACGGTGTTTCTTGGGAGGCAGAGGAGCAGGTGTGGTACGTGTTAGCCAGCCTTGGTCATGGCGTGTCACTGTGCTCCCCTTCACCAAAGACCTCCTGCAGCCACGTGCTTCGGCTGACCTAGGAGAAGGAGCAGAGGAAAGAGCCACGTGAGAAGAGAAAGAGTGAAGTGCTTGGGCCAAAGGCAGGTAGGGTTGGTGGGGAGCAAGTGGGAGGCCTCTTCTGCTTTCCACTGCGCACAGGGAGGGGGGCAGGAGGCGAGAGGGTGGGCTGAGGAGGTGTGCAGGGCTGGTCAGAGCCTGAGCCCTCGGGGTTCCAGAGCAATTGTTAGGAATTACAGAGCTATCAGTTTTTCCAGTCTCATGGCTCAGATCCAAACAGGAGGCTTTTCTGAGGCATTAGAGTTGAACCCCAGACCTGCAATCAATAGATGGAGAGCGTCCCATAGATCCTGGAGTCTACCTGGGAGCTCTCCAAACTAGCCGCTGCCATCACACCCCCTGCCTCCTCGGAGCACTGGGAGGATTCCCGGCGGAGGAGAGGTGCAGCTGGCCTACGCTGCAACCCCGCACAGGCATGAGTCCCTGGTCCCTTGCCACTGGGTGGAGCCTCTAGGGGATTGGTGTTGGTGAGGGCCTGGTGATATCACTGGGTGGGAGGCAAGGCTGTGTGCCCAGTGCTCCTCCCCTGTACCAAGAAAAGGGCAGGTGCCTTACAGGCTGCTGGGCACCCGCCTGCTGGGGGAGGGGTGGTGTCCAGGTCTGCTCCTGGCACTGCTAGCTTCAACTAGATGGTGCTAGCCATGTTGGCAGCCAGGGCAGCATTTCTGAGGGCCTGATGTAGATGGTGGGGATAGAGGAGCGGAGACTCAGTGGTCATGCCTGACTGAGTCCCGCCTCCTCTTTCCCCCACATACCTCACCGTGATCCTGAGGGCCAAAGAGAAGCTGGCTTCTTGGTGGATAGGAAATAGGAGGCCTGCATTGGGACAGAAGTTTCCCCATGCTGAGGGGCCTGTCCACCAGTGGTCAAATGTACCCCAAGATATTTCTCCCAGCAGTGGAAACCACTGGGGCTTTTCCCTCACTGAGCCTCATCTCGGTCCTCCTGGGGCTGTCGGGTGGAATGTTCCAGGTAGAGATAAGTGAATCTAAGCCCCTGCAGGAGGGCAAAGGAGGTTCAAAGCTCTTAACTCTGAGTAGGGGAGAGAGAGAGTATAGGGCTGGGCTCTGAGTGCTGGGGGCCTGTTTCCGCCTTCTCAGGATAGCACATTGTCATCCCAGCCCAGCTCCTCCCAACCCGGATCAAACTCCTGTCTGATATGGAGGGCCTAGGGTTGCTGGCATAATTGCTACTCAGGATGATGGTCACTTTCCATGCTTGCCAGCAGAGCTGTCCCATCACTTCAAATCATGGCTGGCAGAGCAGTGACATTCTGGCCCCACTGGAAAGTCTCTTTTTTGTGGATCACTCCCTTCGTAAAGGCCAATTAGCTGAAGAGACAGTGTCCAGTGTGCCTACCAGAGCAAGGGAAAGGTTGTTGCAGGGCTGCCACGGCCAGGGTGCTGGGTAGGGCCCCTGACTACCCGCTAAGTGGGTCAGGCCTTGGCGGCCCAGCCCCTCTCAGACTGTTCCCTTGCGCTCTGGGTGCAGGCAGCTCGGTTAAGGCTGTCTAGCCACGTTGGAGACACGTGTTCAGTACAGGCTCGGCAGCCTTGTCAGGGTCTTCATGGCTCCCTGTTGGTCCGTGGTGCCCGGGACTGGGGTCCATGCACAGTCTGTGCTGGACGGCCTGGGATGTCCTGGGGAGTCTGGCAATGGAACTGGTACGTGGACAGAGCGTTTTGGGCGGGGAGCTGGGGTTCAGACCTGGCTTCTCTGAGTAGGAGCTACAGGGTGAGCGGAGCAGCCGGAGGCGCTGAGAGGCTTCCGGAAGTGCTCAGGTGTGAGGCGCCGTATCCCCAGAGGGCCGCTAAGAGCAGATCTTTGGGGTGGATCAGGCATGGCTCTGCTGGGGGAAAGGGGGCATGTGGAGGGCCTGGCCGATGCTCCGAGACCCTGGAATGTGTCCATGAGGGAATGCTAGCTCTGTGTTCGCTTCCTTTCCAAAGCATTAAAAATTAAACTTCCTTGTCTTAATATCTATTTTTAAATCATGTCAGAGCCAGCATTGGTGTCAGTCAAGAGGGGGCTGGGAGGAAGAGGGTAGAGAAGAGCAGGTCGCGGCTGAAGCAGGGTGAGTGCTGTCTCTACCTTGAGGAAAGGGCTGCGGCTCGGTCCTCCATCCTGCAGGGCCCCATGAAGAGACACATTCTGGGGATGGGGCGCCTTGCCCTCCTCCTGCTGTGCCCCCGTGCCTGGCTGCCCTTGGCTGAACTTGGCGGCGGGCGCTGGGGCTTACTGGGCTGTTGGGGTCCGAATTGAGTCCGTTCACTCATGCCACAACTATTTACTGAATGCCCGCTGCGTGCGCAGGAGCCTGCAGTTGGTGAGGACGGGCTGACTGGGCTCGCACAGGGCGGATCAGCTTTCTCAGGGCAGGAAGTCG